GGGGGGGGGAAGGTAGGGAGGCCTGGGTGGATGGCGGGGGGGCGGGGGGGGCTCAGAAGTTGCTGAAGATCTCCCGCTTCTTGTTCCAGTCCATCTGCGGGGCCCTCTTGTTGACCCGCTTGGCCCGCACTTTCTCTTTGGCTTCCGCTGCCGTCGGACTCAAGTCCAGGCCGCTCTCTTCGAAAGGATCCTTTCTGCCGGGTTCTCCCACCTAAAGGAGGGGAGGGCCAGGGAAAATTAGTGCTGTGTTCTTAGAGAAACGTTTCTACACAAAATACACCCTCGTTCGCCAACAAAACATGTCCTCACCACTACACGTGTATCGGGGGGGGGGGGTTCCCAACCTGCCGACACCTTTCTTGGTGCCCACTGAGAGTTTTGGGAAAGTGGGTGGGGCTTCTGTTCAAGCAGGGCTTCTGACTGGCCACTTGAGAGTAGCCAGACAGTTTAAAATCGGATTTCAGTGGCAGTTGTCAACACTGTGTTGGTTTTATTCTTTCTCCCTCTCGTCTTTCCCAGTCTCCCACAGTGGCCAGCCAGTTCCTCTGGAGGGCCAACAAAGGGGATTAGAGGCCAAGGCCTTCCCCCGAGAACATCAGAAGAGCCCTGCTGGCTCAGACCAGTGAGGGTCCATCCAGTCCAGTATCCTGTCTCACATGGTGGCGAACCAGTTCCTCTGGAGGGCCAGCAACAGGGCAGAGAGGCCGAGACCCTTCCCCTGAGAATAACATCAGGAGAGCCCTGCTGGATCAGACCAGTGAGGGTCCCTCTAGTCCAGCATCCTGTCTCACACAGTGGCCAGCCAGTTCCTCTGGAGGGCCAACAACAGGGCAGAGAGGCTGAGACCCTTCCCCTGATAAGACCATCAGAAGAGCCCTGCTGGATCAGACCAGTGAGGGTCCCTCTAGTTCAGCATCCTGTTCTACACAGTGGCCAGCCAGTTCCTCTGGAGGGCCAACAACAGGGCAGAGAGGCCGAGACCCTTCCCCTGAGAAGAACCTCAGAAGAGCCCTGCTGGATCAGACCAGTGAGGGTCCCTCTAGTCCAGCATCCTGTCTCACAGAGTGGCCCATGAGCTCCTCTGGAGGCCCAAACAAACAGGGCATAGAGGTCGAGGCCCTCCCTTAATGTGGCCTCCTGGCACTGGGACTCGTAGGTTTAGTGCCTCTGAATGTGGAGGTTCCCCTCAGCCACCAGGGCTAGCAGCCACCGATAGACTTACGCACCATGAATCTGTCTAACCCCCTTTTAAAGCTGTCTATTTCTCCGGCCATCACTACCTCCCCTGGCAGCGAATTCCACGTTTTAATCACTCTCCGTGTAAAGAACAATTTCCTTTTACCCACCCTCAGTCAACTGCCCATCAGATCCACAATATTCCCGAAAGGCCCTTGGTGCCCGTCCTCAGACAGCTGCTGCATCTGGCAAAATCCATACAAAACCAGGAAAGCACCCCCCCACACACACATACACACACTCCACTCCACTCCAAAAGCATGGAAAGAATGCAGTAGTTTGGCCTCCAAACAACTCAAGAGCTCTTTTCTCCCCTGCAAGAGCCTGAAGCAATCGGCTATAATTCAAGCCCTCTCCGTGGTCTTTTTGTAGAAGTCTCTCTAATCAAGGCCTGCTCATTTTTCCCCTTTAAAAGAAAGGGGGAAGGGGTGTGTGTGTGCGTAAGCCTCACGGCATTTGTATATTTTCCCCTCGCATTTGAATGCAATTAAGCTTTATTAACTGGAGTTTGGAGGGGGGGGGAGAGGGAGGCTGGATATTTGCTCGCA